TTGGGGTATATTCCAAGCAGTAGAATAGCTGGGTCATATGGAATTTCTATGTTCAGGTTTTAGAGGAAACACAAAACTATCTTCGAGAGTGGTTGCACCATTTTACAATCCCATCAACAATGTATAGAGTTCCTATCTCACCACATCCTCTCCAACATTTATTACTTGCTTTCCTGGTAAATTTTGCCACTGCTACTGGAATGAGATAGTATCTCATTGTGGTTTAGATTTGCATCTCTCTTATTGCCAGTAATTTGGAGCATTTTTTCATATGTCTGTTGGCCATTTAAATATCTTACTCTGAAAATTCTTTTCATGTCTTTTGCCCATTTTGTAATTGCATTATCAGTCTTTTTTCTTGTGGAGGCCCAGGAGTTAAAATAAACTCTTAAATAAATCTTCAAACTGACTAAAAATCTTGAGAAAATACTGTGACTTTTTACTTAACTATATAACAGATTTAACTATTTCTGTGTTCCTCACAGGGTTCAAGCAAAACTGCAGACTTCGGTACGAATTACATTTCAATGTCAAGAAAACAAAATTTGTCACAACTGGACCAATAGGCATCTTCATGATGGATAGAAAGAAGATTGAAACTATCAGTGACTTCATCTTAGTTGGATCTACAATCAGTACACTTGGTATTAGCAGTCAGGAGATCAGATGTATTGCACTGGTAAAGTCTGCAATTAGGACCTCTCCAAATTCCTGAGGAGCAATAATGTCAGTTTGAGGACTAAGGTGCACCTGATGCAGATCATGGTCTTGTTAATCACTTATTGCGCATCTGAGAGCTGGAAAATGAATAAGGATGACAGAAGAAACATTAATGCATTTGAACTACGGTGTTAGATAGGTAATAAATATCCCATAGACTTTTAAAAGAATAAACATAAACTATTTCTTAGAGAAGGTGCAGCCAGAGTGCTCCTTGGAGGTAAGGATGGAGAAGCTTCATCTAGCATACTTTGTGCCTATTGCTAGGAGGGACTGATTATTCCTTGCAGAATAACATCACTCTTGTGAGAGCAGAGGAGAGGAAGACCCTCAATGAGGTGAATTGACACAGAAACTGCGGCCATCGACTTGGATGTGTCTGAGACTATGAGGATGGCACAAGATAGGACAGGGTTCAGATCTGTTGTTTATAGGGTTGCTATGAGTCATATTCAACTTAATAGCATCACCATCACCATCACCACCACCAACAGCAACAACATAACAGCTAGAAAACTAGGAGGTAGGGCCCACCCTAGCAAATTTTCTCATTGGTCCTCGGCTTTAAAAGACCAAGGTTGAACCCACAAAGGCATGACCTCAGGAAAAACGTAGGCAATAAAACTGTAAAATTGTTATTTGAGAGAAATTTGAAATACGTTCACAAATTCCAATTACTCTGTAAGGTAACCCTTTAACTACTTCCTTGAAGTCTTCGCAATGGCCATTGCTCTCCTGACATTAGTTATTTCATGGCTTTATGAAGCATGCTTCCTTGAACTGTCAATCTTTAAATTATCTGTAAAATCTGGTCCATGGAGTAAAGGAATAGAATTATTCATAAGATACTTTCCATCTCAGCTCATGGTGAAATTACTCACTCAGGGTATAATTAAGTCATAGACACACTGGCCCAAATGTGGATAAAGGTGGAAAGGAAATAATTCCCATTCCAATTTGGAGGCTTTCTGATGTTTGACAAGTATCTGGTGTGTTCATACATGGACTGAGGAGAGCTCAGAGTTCCTATAAGGTAGAGAGAATTTTTTTTCCAGGAGAGTTGGAGACTAATTGGCTGGGGAAGAAATACATAAGCATAGTTAAAATAGCTGAAGGTTGTGAACAGGATGGCAGTGGGGAAACGTGATGGGTAAAGGCAAGTTACAAATTGAACACTGCTTGAAAGAGGTAAAAGTAGACAAGATAGAAGTCATGTAGATGAGTTCCAGATTGTCCAGGCATAAGTTTTATATGTGCTAGAGTGTGTGGAAAGTCTAGACCAGGCTGTAGAGCCAGGTAGTCAACCTCTTTTACCAGGTACAGAATTTCTGACTTTGGAATTTCTGTTGGTAACTCCTATTATCCCTCCATAATCTTTTCCAGTGATGGTGTGGATCCAATCTGCTACATTCACATAGAAATGAACAAATTATGCACACTGATAATTTGCAGACAAATTAAAATTTATTGAGACAGACAGAAATGTACCTACTCAAGACTACAGTTAAGCATTTACTATTAACCAAAGAGTCATGTTCACATTCCAGATAAATCTACGTGGAAAAGCATTCAAAATTTACTAGGTTTTTCTACTTCACTATTTCATCTACAATAGATAGGGACAACAAATTGACACTCAGGATTTGGTGGGCTCTTGTTACAATGCTACACATTTGACAGGGACACACATTAGTGACTTTGAGAAAAAGGTATAAAAAGACCAAAACCACCCACTGTAGAAAGGGTTCTTTGATGTTACTGTACAGTGTGGTTAAGGTGAAAAAGAAATGAGAATGGGATTCTGGGAAAAGCCTAGGTGTAGACCTGGACAAAATATTATTTTTGTTTAGGTGGGGAAAATGGGCATAAAATAAAGAATAGTGATACAAAACTTCAAATTCAGTATATTAAGGAATTCTCACACTAAGAATATTTGTACAAACCAGAGAACATTCGTATGCCAGACAACTTACCATACTGGAGACATTTCTGGGAATCCAAGGCAACAGTATTAAATAAAAGATCCATTCATGGAATAAGAATATAATTATTCACTCAGCATTTCCACAAGTGAGTTAGTAAAGATTCAACTCAATACCCGTCTCAAACAAGAGATTAGATTATTACAATATTATTTTTTAAATCAAGATTCTATGTGTACTACTCAACCATGGTAACTACAGCGCTCCTGTTAAAAGAGGAAAACAAAAATTCTATGTCTAGGGAAAACTCAAAATAGAAATTGTAGTACTTGTGAAAAAATATTAAAGACTTTGAAAAAAAAATTAATGTTGTCAGACCAAAGTGAGACATGAAAAGTAGTGTTAATGTTGTACCATTGATTTTTGGGTTCCAGTCTCAGGAAGGCTTTTTAGTTAATATTTTAATGAATCAAAATATCTTCTTGGAATACCTCTGAAATGGCATCTCATTACCTTGCTGGGAACCGACGACTGAGCACCTTCTCCATCATTAAGTTAATGCTACAGATCTTTAAGTGTCATCTTAATTTGACACTTGTCATAAGATAATTAGGTAAATTAAAATCAGTTCACTCCATTCCTAGAAGTTTCTCTAAGTGAAATCAATTTGTCAATTTTAATTTGTTCTCGAGTACATTTTCCAAGCTCAGAGGAGATGCTAACAATGGTTTTCTCTGATAGTATAAACTGAGATTGCTTTTAATGTCTTGATTTTCTTCATAAACTCTTATTGTCATTTAGCTGCAATTAAGCACCTGTTTTTAAAAATTATTCTTTCAAATCTTGTTTCAACTGGGGGGAGGGGGGAAAGAAATAGGGGTGGAAATTCTAATATAAAGCTTGCCTATGGTCTCCCTACAGGGAAAGTAAATATACCTAGGTTGTACTTATCTACCAAACCAAAGAGTTGACTGTTTTGAATATGTTCATTTCTCATCTGAGGCTAACTCTAGGGATAATTCCATTTCATCTAGCTAAATGTAATGACTAGAAAATGCCAATTTGAGATGGGTTGGCAAAGTAAAAAAAAAAAAAACAGTTAATTTAAGAAGAGTGGGATTGGTCAGTTGATACTATGATCATGGTTTGGCTAACTATATTTTTTGCCTGAGTTAACATGGTCTTCTTGTGGACTAGCTGCAGCTAATAGGAAAGACGAGAAAAAAAAATGGGTCAGAAAGCCTTGCATGGGTTGCTGATTGGAGCATCCAGGTAGGTGGCAACCAATGGCTTAGAAGTGTACTAAATGGGGTAGTGAACTGAATGGGGTCACTCTGAAGACTTATCTTTGGTACTTGTAACTGGGCCAGCTTGATAGGGAAACAATCCTAAAGACTGTAGAGATGATGACCCTACCAGATTTGAAACTAGACCCCCAAAATGAGTTGACTTCTGGGAAAGAAATGCAGTAGTGATTCATTAGTGTCTCCACTTGGCGTGGAAAAGGGAAGGAGTAGGGGAATTGGGTCTTAAAAATCCAACCCATGGTATTACGAAATTCTTTCTAGGCTTCTGCCTGGGATTCTTTTATGGACCGAAAAAGAGCAAAAACCAAACACAAAGTTAAGAATTCTGAATTTCCTCCTCTTCCGGGAACACTGGAGTACTGTCTTCTCAAGAAAAGGGGGATGTGTACAAGCCTTAGAAAAAGCCCTTGAGTAGGCAGGGAATAGAGGAGCCTGTGGCAGGCTGGACTGCGGGGGCAGCCTGTGGGGAGCTCTGAGGGGAAATGAAAGAGATGGCTTGTGAAGCTGCCCATGTGGGAGTCCCATGGCTTCGCGAGAAAAGTGATTTAGGCAGACGAAGAAGGCTTATCCGAATCAAAAAGGCTTCCAGGAACTCAGCTGATGCATAGAGAAGAAACCTCCTCAGCCTGCAGGCTACAAGGGCCAACAGTTAGTGCAAAAGAGGACTTCAACACAAATCTTATTCCAGAAGTTGCAATCCAGGTCTAGACAAGCTGACAAATGTAGAATTACTTTTCAAATAAGTTTTTAATGGATATCTCAAGCTTTTTTTTTCTTTCTGAAAGGCATGTATACCTCTGTGTGTGCATAAGGTACATACAGACACTGCCTCTTATGTACAAACATGTATATTTATGTACGTACAGAGAAAAGCATCCAGACATCATTTTTTTTAATAAAGAAAATGGATTCCCCAAAGGGACCTGTGACTGAATTAAGGCTGTTGTTTGTGGGAAGCCAGAAATAGTGATATGAAAACCTAATTTTTAGTAATAAACACCAGGGGTGGTGGTGGGGCAGGGAGGGCAAATGACAATTGTGGTGTGTTTTCCACGACATCTACAGGACACGAGAAAAGCACTTAGACACTGTAAGGCCGGGAACCATGCTGTAATAACCACCAGTATGGGGAATCAAAAAGGGTCTTCGACGCTGAGGAGGGCGGGGCTCCCTGCACGGTCAGAATTCCACAGAAACCACATGCTTGTTGCAAAAAAAACCTCACGGGAGGGAAGGAGACTGTATTCAGCCAGCCATTCCCTGCTTAAAAATAATAAACGAAACGAAACAAACGAACGAAACAAAGCACAACACCCTTCCTCCCACACAACTGAATTTAAAATCAGAATGCTCTGGAAACAAGGAGTTGTCTTCCAAACCTTGGGTCGGTATAGAGAGCAACAGTGGAGAAGAGACCTTGGTGCCTCAGTCTTAGATACAAATGCAGGAGTAGGAAGTGACTTGCAATTTTGTGCAAAACCTGTGTCCTCTTCCTCGTGGGGACTACCATATGTAGCCGACCTCATCCTCTTTGTCGTCGTCCTCATCCTCGTCATCCTCTCTCACCGCCCGGGTGTGCACCCTCAGCTTCCCCTCTTTGTCCTTTGGCCCCAGCTCCCGCTCGTCCTCAAGGTCATCCAGCAGGACCACAGAGCCGCCGCTGCCGAAATCTCCCGAGGTCTCCTGCTCTTCTTCTGAAACACATGAAGGGAAAATAATGATTGAGGTTTGTTTCTGTTTATACTCCTTGACTCATGCCAGGGTTTTGTCCCTTGCATGGGCTCTAAGTTTTACTGGATAAAACTATGCCTTTTAAACACTTCTCTCTGAATGTAAGTGCATCTCATCTCTGTTGCTAAAAATGAAACCAGGTGAGGTCCTTAAGTTTTGTTCTGATATAAAACTTAGACTTCTTGACATGTTTCCATGGTCAAGAAGAGGCTTTATGATCCTAAGCAAAAAGTGATGGCAGTAAAAGTTGTTATGGTCCTTGACCAAATAGGTCCAACAGATTCTATTTTACCAATAGGTTCCTGCCAAAAATTGCTTTCTAATCTAGTGGTAAGAAACTGTGCTGCTAACGCAATAGCATGTGGTTCAAAGCCACCAGCTGCTTTGCTGGAGAAAGATGGGTAGCCAATTCCCACTGATTTACTGCATCTGTAAACCTATTTCAGGGTTAACTATGGGTCCATTCCAACTTGATGCATAACAACAACAACCACCCAAGTTCATGGTGAATTCCTGGCACCTACAAATGTAGATATGTATACTCATATGTGATTTTAGAAGTACTGTGTCTCCTTAACATCCTGTAGACCAGTTCTCTCTGCCAAACCTTTTGCAAGTCATTACACTGTGGACTGCTGTAAGAAGGACTTACTCACCACAGCTCACAGCACCCTGTTTCCTGGAGCCGGCCAACTCGTTCCCATACTTGTCCACACACCAGCACTGGCCCGTGCTGCCGTGGCACTGTGTGGCTTTGTAATAGCCCTCCTCGTTACACCGAGGTATAAATGCCCCTGAGGAACAAAAGGGTCAGTTTTAATCAAAGCAACACAGAGACCCACACAGTGTTCATTCTCTCTCCCTTTGGAATTGAAGCTTCAAAAAAAGGTTATCATATCGTCTCTGATTATTACTATGAACTTGGCAATTTTTCCTTATAATTTTGTTGTTTTATTTTAAAGCTACAATTCTATGGATTAATAGCACACAAATAAGCATAAGGAACATTACAGCAACATATATCCTTCTTTGTTTTTAAAATTCAAAGTACTTGCTTTTATTAGATTCTAAAGTGCTTATTAAATATTTTGTAACCATTTTTAGCGATAACTTTCTATAGAATAGCTTCACATGTAATTATATGTTTAAAATACCAATTTATAGCCTCTATCTTGTAACAAGCAGTTTTGGTCCATACACATTTATTACAATTATGTCTGGTCTTATCTCTGCCACTATATTTTGTGTTTCCTCTTTTTAATTGTTTCCATTTCCTGATTTCTTTTGAAGTGGTCAAGTTTTCATTACTTCATGCTTTTTCTTTCCAAGTTTTAAGAAAAAATCTATTGTATTTTTAACCTTCTTGTGTTTACTCTTAAAATTTTGACATAAAAGCATTTTCCTAATATGATCTAAAGTCAAACTTTATTTTCATTTCTCCCTGAATAAAACCAGAATTTTAACACCTTACCATAGTTTCCTTCATCAGCAGTCTGAAAACTTAATTATAGTTTACCATAAAAAATTTTTTATTATTAATTTTAATGAAAATTTACAGACTTGGATTTCCATTTACTCATTGTTGCACTTTTCTCCTTGCCCACCCTTCCTCCCCCACCCCGCAGTTCACTGTTCTCTTTGAAAAGTAAAAGAAAAATTCCTTTATTGTTTTACAATTCCTCCTTCCCAGGTTATAAGCCATATTTATTTTGATTTAATAGTATTTGTTTTTACCATTGCATCTTACCTTTTAATTTTTTTTAACTGTGCTTTAAGTCAATGCTTACAGAACTGATTCTCTAGGTCAATCATTAGTCCAAATTTTGTATTAACAAATTAATGCCTGACATTGATCACAATACCACAATACCCATGCTTTCCATTTCCTCCCTGTTATTCTTATTCACTAATCCTTCTGTCTTAACTCTTCCTGCCTTCTCAAGTTTATCTCTGGGAAAATGCTGCCCTTTTGATACTATAAAGTGAATATTCTAAGAGTGTTATCTCTCTGATCTTACTGATTCCTAACAGGCTTGTCTGTCACTTGACTAAAAGTTAAACTACTTGGATGAGTTTTCATTTCACCTTTGACAGATGATTAGCGACCATAGTCTCAAGGGTCCCACCAGTCTCCATCAGACCAGAAAGCTTGGCCATGTTTATGTTTTAGAGAGTTTTCCACGTTTGTTTTGTTTGTTCACTCTGTCTTGGATCGTCTACTGTGATCCTTTTTTTAGAGTGATCATCAGTGGTAGTCAGATACCATCGAGTTCTGGTCTCAGGGTTTTTAAGGGAAGTTTGTCTTTTACCATTGTATCTTAGTCAGTCCTCATGGAGTTATTGTTCTTTTAATAGAGTTAATCCCTTAGTGATATTTCTAAAAGAGTTCTGTGGTTAGTAAAGGTTCCTAGGTCTAAATGTTTTGTGCTTTACTATATAACCCCGCTAACCCCAAGGCTTAGCCTCTCTGAAGGTTTGAATCTACCAGTGGATCTGCAAGAAAAGATGAGCAATCTGTTCCCATGGAATGTACAGCCTCAGAAACCCAATGGAGGGGTATCTATGAGTCAATGGTGAAGAATGAGGGAGGGAAAGAGGGATAAATTAAAGGAATATGCTTAGAATGACCTTTCCGCCACAAAAGAAAAATCTGAGAAATTTGCTTCTACAAATATTACAGCCCAAACCCCCCTACAAGGCAGTTCTAGTCCAAACACCTAGGATGATCATGAGCTAGAATCAACTTGAAGGCAGGAGGTTTGGTTGTTATATTTTAATATTTAGGGAACTTACTGCATCTTAGAAGGCTCCAAAGTATATCTGCTGTCACACTTGAATTACCAGTGTTAATGAATTTAGTACTTTGGATTTAAAATTATCTCCCTTTATCATTTTTAAAATATTGTGATAGTCTCTTAAATAAGTCCTCTTAAATTAAGCCTGATAACACGACTCCAGTTCAACAGTTGATAATTTCCATGAGAATTTTTCATTTTGATTTTTGTCTTCTGGTTATACATCTTCTGTGAGAGAATTCTTCTGCCTCTGACCTGGGTGTTGACATCATCAACATAAATTTCATGGACATAGAAGCCCCTACTCACCACTGTGGCTTTCTATCGCCTTGTGTTTGGTGATGGTGTTAGTCTTGCAATGGATATGTTCTTGTTACTTTATTGGTTTTTTTCAAGATAGCAAAAGTCATTGTTTGGAGACATTTCTCCTAATTTGATCTTGGGTCTATTTGACTCTCGGCTCTATTCTTAGCCAGTCTGCTCATTGGACTACCCTGAGGTGCTTGGGTTCTCGGGCATTATAGGAGATCATGGAGAGGCAGGTGCCTCTAGAGATCCCTGTCCACTGTACTCGTCACTGAGGGAAGCTTGCGGATGCCACAACTAGAGGCTTAGAGGATGCGCCCACACTCTTATTTAGAAATTTAAGTCAAAATACATAGTCTCTAGCCTTCAAAGAGTAAAATGTAGAAGGAAAAAAACTAGAGGCTTTAATCTGCTTAGAGGACCAATACCAGAAAGATGTGTGAGCAGGTCCTCAATCAGGGTCTACAAAGGAAAAGAACTGGGGAAATGTTGATCTTCCTCTTTGAGCTGCAAATGGAAAATAACAGCCCTTATTAAACAAAAACAACAAAAATGCACACTGAGTGGATCTCTTAGGTTGGTAAAAAACAGATGTTACTCTAAATCTATAATGTAATAGGATTATCACATTTTCTAAGTAGGCAGTAATTATACCTGATTATCATTTGTTGCTGCTTGGTTTAGGTTTTATTCTCCCACACTGAATGTCCCTGAATATATGTTTATTATATTAGGAGACTCTCCTACGGTGAGAAAAAAACAACAACAAAAAACCTCCCACAAACAACAACAAATAACTAATGGTTGTTTTATAAGTCAGCCAAATAATTGTCATATAAAAGGAGAGGCAAGAAAATGTGCTTTAAAATTAAGTTGGATTCATGGTGAGGTAAAGCTAGGCATTTGCTCCATCTTGGTAGAAGGGAAATGAGACTTTTTATCTCTAACCATAGATGTTGAAGGGATAAAATAAGTAAAAAAAAATGTCCTAAAGCTTGCAAATTTATGGGAAAGGCGTCAGCTCAAAAAGATGTCTGTGTGCCTGCTTACATGGGAGAGGAATTTGAGGGCCACAGGGGTTAAATTATGACAACAGTGAAGTTCTGGTTTGTTCTGAGTTGACGAGAGGTTGTCAGAAGTGCAAACAAAGAGGAGAGTCAGTGACCCAAGTAATATTAAAAAGCAGAAGGAAAAGGGAATGAGCTTTTTCAGGTGACCTACATTTCAGAAGAGGAGAAATTGCCCAAGTTCACAGACATCTACTTTTGACAAGTCTGCAAGAAAACGAGCTCATTTCCTTCAAGTAAACAGATAAACTTCGACAACGGCAGGCTGCTTAGGGACCGCACCTGCCTCTGGATGCTTGAGAGAATAATTTTGAGTTATTGTGTTGCGGTCTTCAGTTCTCTTTATAAAAAGCAAGAAAAAAACAACGCAGATTCCTTTCTTACTCAAAGAAACAAAGTTTACCAGCATCTCAGTGACAGTGTGGTGAGAAAGAGAGGAGGGCTTGTAAGTAAAAGGAAAGCTGTTATCTTCACTTCTACCGCAGCCTCATAATAGGAAAAAACATATTTGTACAATCTATTTGTTTCTGCTTACCTTCTGGACAGAGATAAGGGACACATGCAGTGTCTACACCCCCAAAGCACTTCCCTCCAGGCTTTCTATTTAAACTTATAAAGACACTAAGAGAACTCCATTTGATAAATTCTGAAGAGAATCTAGCTCATCTTCCTCTTTGGATGGACACACTGATCTGAGAAGCACAGGGCACACTATTATTCAGGTGGCTGTTACTGCCCACCTTGCCAGGACCTGACTCATGGTGAAGCCAGGCACAGTGGAACATGACGCTGCCCCATGCTGCATCATCCCCATGATCAATGGCAGGCAGGTCCTGCTACCATCCAGAGGGTTTGCACTGGCTGATCTTCTTTAGCACAGCACCAGTCCTTTCTTCCTAGTCCATCTTAGTCTGAAAGGTGCTGAAACCTGTTCAACTAGCTTCTACTGACAGACAGGGGTGGCAAGCCGCCTACGAGGTGCATTGACTAGGAATCATTTACAGGCTTTATAATCTGAGAGGTGAAGAGATACTTGAAACTTCTAGTCAATGACCTTATTGTGGCAAGTGAAAGCTAAGGAACTCTCTTCCTGATACTGGAGCAGGCAGCAGCCCAGCCAGCTAACCAATCCTCAGTTCAGGTCCAGCTAACTGGGGCATTTTACCAGCTGCCTAAAAAAGCCCTTGCCTGGGGGTAGAACAAGGCATTTCTTTCACAAAACACTGGTCCCTAATTGAATAACCATTGCTACGCTAAACATTACAAGATACATGGATGGTTTAATTAGTTGTTTAAACGAGTGGCAGGAAATTGTACTTACCCAACAGACTTTTCCCCTTGCTTAGCTTCTGAATCCTGTTCATTTCATTCTGGCAAGGGAGACCTGAAAAAAATAATTTATGAAAGTCAGTTTCCAGATGGTGTGGGATATAATCTCTAATGATTGGCTTCACTCTTGACGTGAAATGTAGACAATGACACACCTGGGAGTGGAATTACTCCATATGCTGTTACTGTGCAACAAAACAAATTTAGACCATTAGTGCCACTAATGAAAAAAACCCCTCATACCATGAGCCACTTAAAATAGTATTTGGGGGCTATTTGGATTGCACAGGAGTTTCTTTTATTACCAACAGCTCAAAGAAATCACAAATGTAGGTGTCTGAAAGGTGATGTGCTAGTAGATGGACTTCCTTTAAATCAGAGAGTAAATTACCAGCCAATACTTCTATAAGCATTCAAGGCTTACAGACCAGCCTGACTAATCAGAAAGGGACAAATATTGAATCCACTCCAGGTCATGCTGTAGGAGAAAGAGGGTTAAAGTGGCTACTTCAGACCTCATGGCTCACCACTCCAGGAAAATAAAACATAGGCCTCGAGGGACAACAGTGAGGACAGAGACAGACCTGAGAGGCAGCTAGTGCAATGTTGAAGAAGAGATCTTATGTCTTGGTTCTTCCACCTCCCAGCTGACGTGTCAGTCTCTTCCCCCCCCTCAGTGACTAACGCCTCAGTTATAAAATGTACATTGCCTGATATGCACATTATAGGAATTAGCATGAAACTTCCACCCTTTAAGTGAAGGACAGATGCGGTGACAGCCAAAAGTCCAAGTGGGCACATGACAGCGTATTTTACTCCTGCTCTTTACCCACATACAGATGAAGTTACTTCTATTTTCAAGTACAGAGAAATTCTCTATAGAGTTTTATCACAATTTGTTCTTGCAGACCTTGTGGCATTAGAAGTTTCTGCTGTTTGTTCACTGTCCTCCACGTATTAGCAAACAAAGGTCCAGCTTGCTGGGGCTCTTCTCCCCAGTTTGTACTTCCTCTTTCTATAGGTCCTACACCATGCTTGCACATGAAACATCTGGGTACCTGTTTACATCAGCTGCCCTGTGGATCTCACAGTCCTCCTGCCTTTATGGCCAGTTCCCTGAGAGAGCAGGTCATGAAATACATTTTGGTAACTTCTCGTTTTAAGAGTTTTAATACACATATAAAGTAGGAAACAATATTATGCTTAAATTTGTACAGGAAAATATGTTTTTAAATGTTATAGAAAGATATAAGCCACAGACATTTATAAGACTAACACTTCACAGGAAAAAATCAGTAGCATCCACACAAACACTGTTAATGATTAGTTCTACTCTGAGATAAATTTAGAGATTAAGGTTCACCTGATGCAGGCCATGGTCTTCATAATTACCTGCTATGCATCAGAGATCTGGACAATGACCAAAGAACACATAAGAAGACTTGATGTCTTGATCTGTGATGCTGGAGAAGACTACTGAATATAACACAGACTGACAAGAGAACTAACAGATCTATCTTGGAGAGGGTGAAGTCAATCTTTTTCTTAGAGAAAAGAATTTTGAAGCTCTGTCTCACATACTTTAGGCATGTTTACAGGAGGGACCAGTATTTGGAGAAGGACATCATGCTTGGAATGGTGGAAGGACAGCACAGGAGAGGAAGACCCGAGATGAGCTGGATTGACACAGTAAGTGGGGCAATGAAGGTAGGTGTGTCAGAGACAGTGAGATTGGCCCAGGATAGAGCAGGGTTCAGAGCTATTGTGCATAGAGTCACTATGAATCACAGGTGACTTGATGGCACATGACATTAACAACAACATGAGCTAAATGGACTTTTTTGCTAGTTGTAAATACCGACTCTTCCTTAAAACTCTTCTGCAATAATTGAGGTATTATTTATCAATGCCCTTGTGGTGTAATGTTGGAGAAGAGTACTGAATGTTCCATGGGCTTGCAGAAGAACAAACAAGTTTGTTTCTGAGGAAGCACAACTAGGGTGGGTGTTTCTTGGAGGCAATGATGATGGAACTTCAACTCATGTACTTTGGGCGTGTTGTCAGAAGGGGCCAGTCTATTACAAAAGGACATCACACTTGGGAAGGTGGATGGTCAGAGAGAGAGAAGAAGACTCTGAACAAGATAAATTGACACAGCAACTGTAATAAGGAGCATGTCAGAAATCATGAGGATAGAGCAGCGTTCAGATCTGCTGCTCACAGGCTTGCTGTGAGTCATCGTGGATCTGCTGGCACCGAAAAACAACAACTTACTGAAAGATGAGGAAAACTACTGAAAGAATAAGAATTCAACTAAAAATACTAAAACAGAAGAGAGAATAACACAAAACTCCAGATGAAGCATCTGTATCAGAACATCTTTTGGGGTCAAGGAGATGAAAATGTTTAACAAATGGTTCACTAGGAAATATAAGAGTAAAATTTTAAAAAAGGCTTTGTAAAGACTATTGTTCAAGGCAGAGATACAAAGTCTCAAGGAAAATGAGCAGTTAAAGAAATAAGAAAACCCAGAAAAGTTTGATGAAACATGTGTAGTATTTATGTTCTTGGAAAGAGAACAAGCAAATGAAATGAAAAAAAAGTTTTCTAAGAGACAAATATAATTTAAAAAAAGATCCTGAATACTATAACTAAACTTATTAAGCTTAAAAAATCAAAGATTTTCTTCTAAAGCTCAAAAGAACATATACAATGCTTTAGGAATAAAAGCGCTACAGATAGAACAAAACTGATGTATGTCTTAGGGATTTAATGTCTTTGAAAAGCAGAAACCCTTTGTTTCCAAATAAAATGATTACATTACTACTAAAGGAAAAAAATACTGGAATATTTTCACTTTTTGAAAAGCTCCATCTGATGCAAGGGAAATAATATTTAAAAACTGTGACTTCTCGAAGTTTTCTCATAGCACCATTTTTATTCAGATACAAAAGCAATAGAAATATTTTCAAACATTGAATAACAAATCCAGAAATAAATTCTCCCAAGAGAGTGTTTGAAAACACTTCTAAGAATGAAACTTAATAGTGAAATGAAATAAAAATAGCAAAACCAGTCAACAAATAGTCATACTATATGAAAAAGTTTAAACTTTATATAATGTCCACAGCTTTTAATGAAATATTAACCATACTAATAATTCCAGGTAGCAATACTAATTGTCTACAGCTTATGGAAAGTCTTAAAAATTTTTTAATGCTGAAATTCATTAATAAACAGGAAAAAATAAGCATGATAGAATCATTCTTCCCCAGTTTTCAGATACAATAAAACATAGGACTTAAAGAAATGTGGAAACAAAAGAGAAATTTCAGAACTGCTTCTGAGTTGGATACAGACATGGAGAGGGACATCAGGCTTGGAAGAGTGGAGGGACAGCACAAGAGAGGAAGATCAAACACCCTGGATGAGATAGATTGAGTCAGTGATGGATAATGGTGGAAGGTGTGTCAGAGACACACAATGAAACTGGCTCAAGATAAGCAGGGTTCAGAGCTGTTGTGCATAGGGTCACTATCAGTCAGTGTCAATTCAATGGCACATAACAACAACATCTATGGTTAACTGATATTCAACAAGGAAATAAAACCTATTAAATGGGGAAATGGCAAACTCGTCAACAAATGGTGATGGTAAAGAAGGACTGCTACCTGCCAAAAGCTGAAACACAAAAATCAACTCATGGTGGATCAGAAACCTGGGAGTAAAACCCCAAACCATAAAGTTCATCAGAGGCAAACTGAGATCAATCTTAGATGGCCTGGTCTATGGTATAAAGAAACTGCCAAATACAGACAGAAATGCACAATCTGGAGAAGGTAAAATTGATGAATGGGACAAGCTAAAGATTAAATGCCTGTACGCATCAAAAACATTTTCCAACAGAGGGAAAAGAAAACCTACTGACTGGGAAAATAATATTTGGCAAAACCATCACAGACAAGGGTCTCATATCAAAAGTTTATGGGATCTTATAGGGCCTCCACAAGAAAAAGACCAATAACCCAATTACAAAATGGACAAAAGACGTGGAAAGACTTCACAGAAGAAGTCATTTGGAGAGCCAACAAACACATGAAGAAATACTCAAAATCATTGACAATAGGGGAGATGTAAATAAAAAGCACAATGAGATACCATTTCACCCCAGTAGCAGTGGCAAAGGTAACAAGCAATAAATGTTGGAGGGAGTGGGAACTACCATACACTGTTGGTGGGATTATAAATTGGAACAATCACTCTGGAAGGCAGTTGGGTGTTTCTTCCAAAAGTTTGACAGAAACTCTTTAAGACGCAGCTGTTCTACTGCTTGCAATATACCCTAAAGAAATTAAAAGACACAAACGGAGATTTGTGCACCAATGTTCATAGCAGTGCTGTTGACCATTGCAAGAACATGAAACAGCCCAAATACATGTCTAACAGTCCAACCACAACTGAATGGATTGAGAAATTGTGGTATATTCACACAATAGAATACTATGCAGCACACAGGAGCAACCATTTTGAAAAATATTGTGTAACTTGGGAGAGACTAGAGAGCATTATGCTGAGTGAACTAACTCAGTCTCATAGAGACAAATACTGCATTAGACCATCATTGTAAAAATAGAAGGATGACTAGTAAAACATATATGGGGACCCAAGGGGAGAAGGGTTGGAAGTAGAGGAGTGAAGATTGGTAGGGGTGAAATCACAGGACTTCACAATGTGGCGGGTGGAGAGAAGAGGTAAAGGAAATGAGAAAGATCTGTCAGGGACCTAAAAAGAACTGGTTATGATGGACATAGTCCAATGGTGATCAATTTTATAGAACATAATATATGGTAATTATTGTATGAAGCACACTGTGAATAAAGAATAATGTGAAACACAATGTATATGAACCTTGTAAGAAAAAATATGATTTTTTTTTTAAAATAAAAAGACTCTAGGAGAGTAATAGCACTTGGATTTTGTCTCTCTCATAGACTGTGAGGAACTCAGGCTAAGGTCTAAATCTCAAGATTATTGTTATGTTTCATGCTGAAATAGTACAAGCATTTCTATTAAAGCATTAAAACCAGCCCTTTTGTTAAACATTGATTTGGAGGAACTAGCTGATGTAATTAAAAAAGAGAGAGAAATGAGGTATAAAAATTGAAAAGGATGAAAAAATGATCACTGTTTGCAGATGATATAATTGCACACCTGAAAAATCCATGCAAATCAACCAGAATAACTATTATAATCAAGATGAAAATTTAGCAAGGTGGTTGAGTACAAAATTAATATTGAAACAATCACTTGTGATGAAATATAATGGAAAAAAATCTACCTCATTTACAATGGCAACAACAATAAATACAAGGAAAGTACAATTTCTGCAAGAACAAAACTTTAAAGTGTAACTGATTGATACACGGTTTTGTCCTGTTCTAGCATAAAAAGATTCAATACTAAACAGCTATCAATTCTCTCTGGATTAATTTATTCTTGCCTGATTCTAATGAAACACCAATTTGGATTTTTTAATTGAATACATGGATTCTAAATTTCCAAGGGGAAAAAGAAACATATGATAATAACCAGGAAATTTCTCACAAAAGAAGAGTAATGGAAGGACATGCTATCCTTACTAGGTATTAAAACATATTGCAAAATAATTATAAGTAGCTTGGAACTTATGAATAAAATAAAAATCAAACCCATTGCCTTTTAGTTGATTAAAAGGTGGTGTATATGTTTAGAAGGAGATTGCCTATCTCTTTTATAATAGTTGTTACTGGATTTGAAACACTGATCTTCCATAAGCAGCTCAATTCTTAACACACTATGTCATCAGGGTTCCTTGATTTATGAATAGTTACATACATAGAAAGAAGATATACATACAAGCACAATGGTATCTAGCCATCTATCTGATTTCTGAAGCTAAATATTTATAGGATTATATTGCTTCATTTTTCTCCTGCTAAGTAGCTAGTGAATTCAAATCATCAATATTTGGGTTAGCAGATTAACATGTAACACACTATTAACATTAACGCACCTTTTAAGAACATATATTATTGTTATGTGCCATCGAGTTGCCTGTGACTCATAACGATCCTATGTACATCAGCTCTGGAACCTGCTGTGTCCTGAGGCAGTCTCACTGACTCCGACACACCTACCCCCATTGTCCTAGTTACTGTAACAATCCATCTAATCTAAGGTCTTCCTCTCCTGTGTTGTGGCACTTCCACCCTCCAAGCATACATAATGTCCTTTTCTAAGACCTGTCCCTCTTGGCCATGTGCCCAAAGTATGTAAGATGGAGCTTCAAAATCTTAGCCTCCCAGGAGAAACTTGGTTTCACCTTCTCCAAGACAGATCTATATTCATTTTCTTAGCAGTCTATGTTATGTTCAAGACTCTACTCCAGAACCATAACTCAAAGGCATCAATTCTTCTTCTGTCATCCTTAGTCAATTGTCTATCTCTCTGATGCATAGCAAGTAACTGAGAAGACCATGGCCTGAAACTGGCACACCTTATTCTCCAGACTTACATCGTTGCTTTTCAGTACTTTGGAGAGATCACTGACAAGATTTTCCCAGTGCAATTCATCTTTTGATTTCCTGACTGTTGGTGCCAAGAGTGTTGATTGTGAAGCCGAGCAAGTTGTAATTGCTAACAACTGCAATCACTTCTCCATCTATCATGGTGCTGCCAACTGGCCCAGTGGTGAGAAGCTTTATCCATATAGGGGCTTTTGCAGAATAAACGAAGTGTTTCAAATTGTATGGAGAACAGCAGGTTAAGTGAAAAAATGATAGGGAACAACTGGAAAACTATTGGGGGTTAGGGGTTAAAATCTGTTACACCAAAATAAAATTCAGAGTGATAGAAGACTCAAACAAACAAAAGTTTTATAAAAACAGAAGATAATTACTTTGCAATCTTAATGTAGGAAATAATCTTCTGAAGCTTAATAATAAGTTCTATGTCTTCTAAGAATCTACAAATTAAAATACTGAGAAATATGATTATTTAATCATTTAAAATTTCACTCTACCAAAATTACAAGTACAAAGTCCAGGTTGGGGGGAAAGTATTTGATACCCTTATGATTAGAACATATCTAATTCCTTCAATATAAATTCCTAAATTAAAAACCAAAAAAGCCTCAACAAAACAACAGCCTAATACAGTTTGTACAAAGACCACATACACATGTCAAAGCAAAGCAAAGCAAGAGTATCTCAAGAATATAAAAATGTTCAATCTAACTCATAATGAGAAAAGTGAAATAAAGCCTGTAAGGGATCACTTCTTGGCTCTGTGCCCTATTCAGTAATTGATCACAAAGTCTGGCAATGCAATGGGGAAGTACATGATACACTGGTAGGTGGCCCAAATTCTTTGAAGGACAAATTGATAAAACTGCTCAAATTTTAAAATGTCTCTGCCATTTTAGCCAGTAATTCTGCTTTTAGGAATGTATTTTATAATCCTACAAAGTATGCACATACCCCTATTTACTTTTTAAAAATATTCATTCATTCATCATTGTATTTTCTTCCCTCTCCCTTCTCCGATCCACTTTGCAGTGCACCCATTGTTTCAGGTTGTCATACATGTTGCCTAATCATATCTTCCTTTTGGACAGTTCTTCCTCTCATCTGTTACAATGTAGTGCTTCATTATCCATCCACTCCTTTCCTTTCCCCCTCCTAACTCCTCATGTCAATCCTATTTTATAACAGTGGTATTATGCAGTATTTGTTCTTTTGTGACTAAGACGAGCTGACAAAGTAATTGAGGTGATGGAACTAGGTATGTCAGAGACAGTGAGACTGGCACAGGATGGGGCAGAGTTTAGAGTTGTTGGACATAGGGTCTCTATGAGTTGCAGGAGGCTCAATGGCCCATAACAATAATAATAAGTGTTTTGTTTGTATACACATGCATTCACATAATGAGAATTGTTATTGCTGTTAAGAGTTGTCATGTTGAGTCCAGTTCATAGTGACCTCCATTTACTACAGATCAAAATTCTGCTTGATTCTGCACTGTGCTTCAGCCCAGTGTCATAGTAACTGTGTCACCTCACCTCATTGAAGATCTTCCTTTCCTTTGCTGCTCTTCCGTCTTTCTGAGCATGATGTCTTCTTCTGATGACTGGCCCCTTTTGATAATGTGCCCAAAGTATGTTACTCAGAGTGGTTGTTGTTATGAACTGTTGAGTCAGAATCGATGCATAGCTGACCCTCCAGTGGGTTTTCAGAGGCAGTTCTCACTAGAGTAGGCTGGCCATCTTTCTCCCATGGAGAAAGTCAGTGGATTTGGACCACATGTCTTTGAGTTGACAGTTCAACTCTTTACCACTGACCTACCAGGAACTCCCTATTTTTCTGTAATTTTTCAGCTTCGTCAGCCATGTTTACAGTGTGTTACCCTGGATATCTGATCCCAACTGGACCAGATATTCCTGGCTTGGAACTGGATTTCAATGTAAACCAGTCTCTGCTTATCTTATAAACTGTGAGCTCCCAATTATGATACCTTTATATTTTACAGTATTTCTCACACTGAGAATCTCACAATAGGAGAAACATACCTATAGATGCGCCATTAAATGACACAACTGCTTCTTGATTTCTGAGGTGTGTCTTTCTTTGCAGCTCTAGTTGTCTTCCCAGTGTGTGAAATGTGGTCCTTCCCCACCCTACCCTGGCCCCAGCTTCTAGACCACACCACCATCTGCCTTACCTCCAGGCTTCTGGAAGCAGTAGCACCACTCATTGTTAGAAAGCTTGCCATCCTTGAAGGAGTCACAGGAGTTGAAGAGTGGCTTGATGCAAGGCTCATACTTATCCAGGTAGATGGCGTTGATCTCAGAGTGGTCAAGCAGGAGGTCATAGTTCATGTCCAGCTTGTTGAACATCCAACCCAGGGAGTCCTTGCAGATTGGCAGGATGCTGGTATCAAACCCTGCAGAGAGAAAGGCATATCTTAGCCACCAGCAAATTGGCTTTCTCATCCTTCTCAATTCTCAAGGAGACCCAGAGCTGACCACGCACCTCTTCCTCTCTGAGGCGTCTTCCCTCCCAAGGCACAGTCTCTCCAGCACTTAACTGGAACAATACAACCTTTTCTTTTATATTCTTTTAATGTTTTAAAACACATTGGAATGGAAATCAGCATTTGAGTAAAATACATTCTAAAAGGAGTGAGCCCTGCCCAGTGCTAATTTATCTGTAAAGGAAATATATGAATTTTTATTAACTAGACTTGCTAAAACCAAGGTTTGCCTGAAAGAAAGAATATAAACAAGCTGAGTAAGGAGAATATCTCATAGCACTGAAAACTTTGGTTTCATATTCAGAAAAACAAACTTATTTGAAAAACAAAAGACAATATTATATGTGAGGGGGAAAAATACAGCAATAAAATGTAACTGCATAGCATAATCCAGAAGCACTGATTACATCCCAAAGGATTGTTAAATCCAAGCAGTCTGAACACTAATGGCAAAACCAGCGAGACACCTGCCTCCGTTCCCCATTCTTTCCGGAAATCCCCTAAAGAGATACATGGTATGGAATCCAAATAGAGTCAGACAATAATTTCTTTCTTATTTCCCTGGAGAGAAGCTATAGTTTTCTTAAAAAATTATTTGCTTCCACAATAGAAACTCTATGTTCTTGAACAATAACTCTTTGCTTACTACTTTGGATACTGAACTTACTGAAAACAAACCCCAGAGAAGACATGGCCCAAAGGTAAAACTTGACTTTCTTTCAGAAGCAAATGTGGTACATATAATCCAAAGTTATTCTGCAAGTTCCACTTCCAGGGCTGGTTTTATTTTCCCAGAATAATAATGAGATAAGATAACATCTGTGCAACCTGTGTCACAATATAGTAAACAGTCTTCTAAGTGATTTATAATTATGACATAATTGAATCCTTGCAATAGCTTTATGCAATAACATCATGTCAGCCCCAATTTGAGATTTTTGTGAAAAGATAAGGCTAGAAGCTGAGGTTACTTATTTCAGGTCATACCGTTGTAGGTCAGGATTCAAACCCAAGTAGACGAATCATTTTCAAATCTTTTACCAGAGTGCCACAATGATCCTTCTGCCTTGAGGATGTCCAGTTTTCTGTGGCGCCGTTTGGGAATGGGCTAAGCCACTGGAGACAGTGTCTGCAATCCAGGGCCAGAATGGAGTCTAGTTTTTGAGCAACTGCCCACCTGGTTGCTCACATCTGGCCTCAAGTGTCAGTCATCGCATTCTCATGTGTTCTGACAGAAACCTGTGTGTAGTCAGCAGGCTTTGAAATACTGTAGTTAGGCTCGTCCTATTTAAAGCAGTATTATTAAAGAACAGTCTTAACTCTCCAGACCCCAATAAAACAAGTTCAATATTTCCTCCAGGGAGAAACTTTTTGCTCCCTCTGTTGTCACTGCCTGTCCTGTTCCCTTCATTGCTTGGGTCGCTACAGGTGCATATCGTCACTGTGAATTCAAGTCAGCCCCCAGTGCACGGTGATCCCACACACACTGGAACATGCTACTGCCCAGCCTTGTGCCATCCCCTGTGATCAGGTGCTGATCAACCACTGTTATCTGTAACGTTTTTCTGGTTGATTAAGAAGATTATGAAAACTTTCTCGCCAGTTAATTTTCATTTGGAAGGGCCACTGAAACCTGTTCAGCATCACAACAACACACACAAGCTTCCACTGCTAGCGAGGGGCTGGCTGAACACCAGGTGCACTGACTGACTCACATCCGGGCCTCCTACCTAGAAGGTGAGGGGATTCTGCCAGTGAAGTAACAATACTTCACATTGACATTTAAAATAAACCCCACAACTCTTGCTTTCTACTTGATTCTGACTTCTACCAATATATAGAGCAGAATTATAGTTATTGTTATGTGCTCTCGAGTCACACATTATAGTAACCCTATGAACAATAAATAGCTCTCTAATTTGCCCTATCCTGAGCCAATCTCATCACTTCTGGCATATCTGGCCCCATTGCCACACTCACTGTGTCAATCCATCTCATCCAGGGTCTTCCTCTCCTGCACTGTCCCTCCACCCTTCTAAGTATGTCTTCCTCCAAGGACTGGTCCCTTCTGAAAACATGCCCAGAGGATGTGAGATGGAGTTTCAAAATCCTTGCCTCCAAGGAGCAGAATAGAACTGTCCTGTCATTAAAGCAGTAGGATTTCCAAAACTAAATCTTTACAGAAGCCGACAGTTAGATCTTCCTTTCCCAGGGACACTGGTACATATAAACTCCTGACATTTTGGTTAGCAGCCAACATTTCTGCTTAACTGCTATGCCACTAGGGCTGCTATACTGATATATTGTTGTTGTTGTTCTTATGTGCTGTCAAGTTGCCTGCGACTCAGTGACCCTATGTAGAACAGTACTAAACCCTGCTCTATCCCTTGCCAATCTCATTGTCTCCAAGACACCTATCCCTATTACCCCAGTGACTAAATCAATCCATCTCATAGAAGGTCTTCCTCTCCTGCACTGTCCCTCCACCCTCCCAAGCATGATTTCCCTCTCCAAGGACTGTTCCCTTCTTACAACATGTCCAAAGTATATCAGATAAAGCTTCAGAATCCTAGTCTCCAAGGAGCAACCAGGCTTCACTCTCTCGAACTTGTCTGTTCTCCTAGCAGTCTGTGGTATATTCAATACTCTTCTCCAACACTGATATAAAACAAAATAAAACCAACCAATTCCCACTTGAGTTTGGTCACAGTGACCTCCATCAAGTTTCTGCGGCTCTAAATTTGCTACTTGTAGATTTGAACTGTTGATCTTTTGGTTAGCAGCCCGGACAGCATGTACTAAGCCACCCGGATTGCTTATACTGGCCTACAGCAAATGTGTAATAAAAGTATTTCTTCAGAAAGTTTTTTAACTACAGCAAAGCTTACCCTTTTAAACATAAAATCTTTTCAGTGTTTTTGAAATATTCACCTTTTTAGAAATGCAGGGTATTTTTATTTAAAAAAATTCCCCTTGCAAGAAGAGAGACTACAGAACGTAATATGACCTCTTCTTTGACTAAAGTCATAGCTATAAACAATCTCTGTGATGATGATGTCCTCAGGGGCCAATGAGTTAGAAAGATAATTTACTGTGACACGAAATGATCCTTCACTTTTGTAAAGAATATTTTATAAAATATGAATCAATTTTATAGAATATTGACATTTTAATGCATTAGGAAAGAAGAGTTTGCAGCTGACCACATTTTTTTTTTCTTTTTTAAAGTGTCACATTAGTTGGGAAAGAGCAATAAAATAATCTGTCCTCAAAAAAGAAAAAAAAAGGTTCTAAAAAAGCAGCTCCTGCATCTGGCATTTGTGAACCAGGACTCGGGAAGCAGAGGAGCGGCGGCACAAGCCTGCAGGCCTTCTACGGTTCCACAGCTGCCCCTTCAGAACTCCTGGACTGACTCAAAAGCCCTCCTTCTATGACCTGGGGGCTAACCAAGTGCCATTATTTTGCTTTCTCTTCACTCCAATTGCTTTAGGGCATCAAATCAAAATGCTTCTTTGGGGACACAATTTGCTCCTGGTCAAGGGCAGGTCTTTCAAAGGCTCCCAGCAGTCTACAGGGGGAGCCTCCTACTCCAAGGGGCTGCAGGAAGCAGCTCACCTCACTGCAATCTGCTCTTTGTTGAAAGGTTGCTCAGTGAACCCAAGGGTCTGACTGCTCCTAGAGGATTCCCAGGGAAAGGTTCTTTAGACCATTTGTGAACTAATTGTCCACAACCTCCAGGGAAGCCTCTAGCAGAAGTGGAAAGAAGTAATACTATTTTACCTTCCCCACAGGTACCAACCACCAAGGACTAGCCTTTGGACAATCAGATTTGGAGAAGTAAGCACTATCTTTATCTTAAGGTAAAAGATTGGCCCTAATGTTTGGAGTTTGATGGAGTTTCTCCTTATTATCAGTTTAACTGTAGTTAAGTGGAAAGCAACCACCTCAGAATAAGCTGAACTAGGAAGAAAGATGAACACCTCTGGATCACACGGCAAAGTCTGTAATCAATCATGTACATGGTGCAGGACTTGATAGGATTTTTGTTTTCTTTTGTGCTTGGGGTTGACATGAGCCATGGGCCAATTTATGGTAGTTAACAATAGTCATGCAATACCATAGATCACCATTTTCCACTGATACCTCTGTGTGCCTATGGGCAGCAATGAATAATCAAATACTAAGGAGATGATTTTTTCCCCTCTGAGGACCAGATGCTATTTCAATGCTGGATTTTACAGATGTCAGCTAACATTCTTACCTACTTTGTTCCATCTAATGTTGTTGTTGTTGTTGTTATGTGCCGTGGAGTCGTTTGCGACTAATAGCGACCCTATGCACAACAGCCCTAAACCCTGCTCTATCCTGCGCCAACCGC